CTTGCTTTGACACACCGAACTGACAAAAGCTAGGAATCCACTCTCCATCGGAATGGCAACGGCATTCTCCTAAACAAGACTCTCCTTTCCTGACAAAACAATCGGTCGACCTTCGACAAACGGGACCCCGGTTTAGCTTCCCAAAACAGCCACTTAGCTTGCTGGTCATTCAAAAGTCACCAGGCCATGGGTCAAACCCCGCACCCCCAGTGAACATCCCAATCCCCACTAAAATAGACTACAATGGATGGTGCACCTATCCCAAAATGGTACCATTGGTGTTGAACCATGATCACCAATTTACGTTAAACAAATGGTGTTTCCTTCCGAGCCGTCGGCGAATCGATTCGCCTCAAGGTGTACCTGTCCGGCAAGGTCTCCATGACCTGACCACTCAAACCAGTGTCAAAACGGCCGGTGCACTATGCTTCTTCGGATCGCCGGCCACGAAAACCATTGCTTGCCTCTTGCTCTACTGAAACATGTGCCGTAAAAGGGGAAACTAGGAGCCAAAAGAAGAACCAGAACCCTTCTCTGGGGGAAGCCGGCCGTCCCCCAAAGGATTTCGTGCCCAGGCAGCCTTGGTCCAACAAAGGGACAAGAGCTTTGTTGTGCGCGTGAGTGTGTGTGTGTGTGTGCGCGAGTGTCACATCCCACTTGCCAGCAAATCAAGAGGTTGAAACCGTGGCCACCTGTGGCCATCAATAACATGACCAGCTTCGGAACAAGGCAAGCGGGATGATTCACAACAATGAAAAAGACAAAAGTCCACCCCGTCTCTCAATGCCTCACTGCCTTCCAAACTGCTTTTGAGACTTTCCTTCTGATCCTACTGCAAACAAGGTCCCGTCAGATGGCCGTGTGGAAAAGCTCGAACTTGGGACCGCTAATGGCTGGCAGGCTCTGAGATAAACAGGAGCCTCTTCTGCATAGGTGTCCCTTTAAGGGAAATACATGGGCTTCCCTGGTAGATGATTAAACCACCAGGTAAACCAGGGCCATCTATTTGTGTACCGAAACAACCAAAAAGGACACCTATGCCGGTGTGGACTTGGCAAGAGCGAGATCTGATCGCCCGGAAATCGCTTCCCGCCAGATCGAGCTGAGAAAATCTGGCGCCGATCTCGTCACCCTCAACCTCCTTTCCCGGCTCAGATACTTGGAGCAGTCTGTCACAGCATACGAGCATCGCAAAATGACAACCATCCACTCATGATCAAGGAGTGTCACACGTGCCGTTTCTGGGGGGCAATCTCAGCGTTAGGGCCATTCGGGGGTAGGCCCATTCGGGATCAGAGCTCCAAAAGAACTGCGGGTGTCTTCTGAGGGACCAACACACAGCGTGCCTCCGAACGGGAAAGCGGGGTTCATCAGACTAAGCTCCTTAAGGCTCCCGAAGCCAGACATTCAACATCTTTCAATTCGTCAGGACCAACCTCCAAAAGTCTCCTTGTTGGTTTGCCTTTCTTTCCGCTTCTATTCTTTAGAGACCGTCTTCACAAACCTGACATCAGGACTCCCCCACTAAGGGACGAAATCAGTCACGGGATAAATCGCTCGTTGTAAACACCACCATGCCTGGAACATCCCATCCAACACCGTGGCAAAAGTATGATGCCAACTCCTAACACCATTCACCATAGGAAGTGCCAACCCCCTTGATTCAGCGGACTTCCCCAAATCAAAAGTTGATCAGTCTACTGTCGGCTTCCATTGAAACCATCGCCATGGTTGGAGAACCCTGTATTCGGAACTGACTCGGAAACCCTGTCAAGCTTTGGCAGGTGCAAGGATGCTGCCTTGGCCTGAAGCCGGAAAAGTCTTCCTTGTTGCCTGACTTGGAGTAACCAGCAGCCCCCCCACCCCAAGCCGACCAGCCGAGCCAGCCGCCACCGGCCAGCCACAACACGCGACCGGCAACAGCCCGAAGCGCAGCGCCGCCTGCTGCAGGAAGGCGTTGAACTTGGCGCCCGCGAAGACCCGGCGCAGCGGCCCGAAGAGCTCGTCCAGGGCGGTCCTGACCCAGGATTCTGGATTGATGTTGGTGTGCACCATATTCCTTTGTACGCATTATCTATGCACATAAATATATATATATATATGTATATATGTATATCGTGTATATATATATATATACATATATGCTCACACACCCCCATGAACTACTTTTTGGGTGAAAAAGCAACCTACTAAGGCAATTTCCTGAAAAACCTGCACAGATCTGCTCAAAGCAAAGCAAAAAAAGCCTGCTTCTGTGAGAATGCATCACAATGAAATTATACATCTGCACCAAGCTGGCAACCAAGATCCGCGCCGCCCAGTGGCCCTACTGGCACAAGGACCAGGATCAATGGAAGGAGACTGGCCTCATGCTGAAAGAGCTGATGAACAAGAAGTAGCAAGGCACGGAGCTGGGTGCATGCATGTAGCCAGCATGGAAGTTTTGCAGAGAGGCGCAGTTCTGATGAAAAAGAAGCTGTGCGCCGCACTGATGCTCTGCAAGCATATGCTGACTATGCATGCGCCTAGCTCTTCCAAGAAATCATCTGAAATAGAATTCATCAGAAATATAACAAATGCAACTTATATAAAAACACCGAAACGAAAAAAAAATAACTCGAGAAAACAAAAAATCCCAAATTCTGAGACCTATGTTTGGTTTGGGCTCATTTTTGTTTTTCTTGTTCTCCCAATGGTTTATTGTCTCTTTTTGGTGTTCCTTGTTGTTGTTTTGGATTGTTGACAAAAAACCCAAAAAGAACCCAGGGATTTTTTGTTTTTTCATGTCATGGCCTTAAAAGTCCAAAAAAACCCAAGGTGTTTTTGGTTTTTACGAGGTATGTTATCCAGAAAACAAAAAAACTTGAGATGTTTTGGGATGTTTAAGGCCATGACATGAAAAAAAAAATGTCCTGGGTGTTGTTTGTTTTTTTGACAAAAATCAAAAAAAACACCAAGGAAAACCAAAAAACTAATAAAAAAAAAATAAAATATAGAAACAAATGGGAAAACTAAAAACTAAACAATGAGCCCAAACCAAACATAGGTCTCAGAATTTTGGATTTTGGGATTTTTGGATTTTTGTTTTCTCGAGGTTTTTTGGGCTTCTATGAGTTCAGCTGAAACATAGTATTAAAAAAAAAAACTGTAGACAAACTATTGAATGTAGCTCTTCCAAGAAATCATCTGAAATAGAATTATTCAGAAATATAACAATGCAACTTATATGAAAACACAGAAACAACAAAAAAATCGAGAACACCAAAAATACAAAAATCCAAAATTATGAGACCTATGCTTGGTGTGGGCTTATTTTTTTTTGGTTTTTTGGGTGTCCTAATGTGTTCTTGGTTTTCCTTGGTTTTTTTTTGAATTTTGACAAAAAACCCAAAAAGAACCCAGGGATTTTTTGTTTTTTCATGTCATGGCCTTAAAAGTCCAAAAAAACCCAAGGTGTTTTTGGCTTTTACGAGGTATGTTATCCAGAAAACAAAAAACGTTGGTGTTTTTGGGATTTTTAAGGCCATGACATGAAAAAAAAATGTCCTGGGTGTTGTTTGTTGTTTTTGTCAAAAATCAAAAAAAAAACAGAAACCAAGGAAAAAAATGAAAACCAAAAAAAACAAAAAAAAATGAGCCCAAACCAAACATAGGTCTCAGAATTTTGGATTTTGGGATGTTTGGTTTTCTCGGGGTTTTTTGGGCTTCTATGAGTTCAGCTGAAACATAGTATAAAACTGTAGACAAACTATTGAATGTTGCTGTAAATCCACAAAACAGTGAAATTCTCACAAAACCTAGGTATGGCAGGAGTTTTCACAAGGTGTGTTAGGTACCATCTACAGAAAACACTGTAATTTACAGTGTTTTGTGTCAAACCAGATACATAGCCAAGACGAAAATCATCAACTCGAGGCGTCAAAAATCATTCGATCATTTATGGCTGTAACCAGCATAAAAACATCAAAACACCGTAAATTACAGTCTTTTCTTATGATTTTCCAGGCAAGGTAGTTCAGAGGTAGTTCATGGGGGGGGTGACCATATATATATATATATATGTATATATATATGTATATATATATATATATGTGTGTGTGCGTATGTTATGTTTTTAATTTTGCTTTTTTACTTGAACTAGAATGGGGAGGAGAGGTTGCATGTGTATCTATACATGCATATATACACGCGCATCTGGGCATGTACAGAACGGCTTGTAAGTGGTATACAAGGGCATAAAAGGGGTATGTTTGGGTGCCCCATACACCCTCAAATGAGGCAGATTGTCGGTGACATGTTCGACTCATTGCTGGGAAAGACTGCTGACAGAAGCTCTCGGCGTTTGTGAGAAGGAACCCCTTCCCTTCAAGTGCCTATTTTCGCGGTGGTTCTCCTGCACAATCCCACAAAAGGGCCTCCACTATTCAAGCGCACGACCAGCTTCGCACTCCGCCCAACAGCTTTTTGTCTGGCTGCCCAATGTGCAGGTCAGGCACCTTAACGGCCAGGGCCCGGAGCGGACAAAAGCTGCACTTTTCAGCACCCACGCTCGCGAGCGGCCGGGAAACGGGGCAGCCCCGTTGAGTCAGTCGTCTGACTTTGGGGGAACCCGTGAATTTGAGCCAGAAAACCACCAAGGACGCAACAAGTTGCGTGTATTCGGGTTGATCTTGGGTGCAGCTGGCCCACTCTTGGGGCCAAATTCTACTTGCTGGTGCGATAGGTAGGGAATGACCTTCCTTCCAGGTGTTGGGAGTGAAACTAGGGATTCCCTGAAAGGAAACTATAGGGGATGGTTTATAGGGGTCATTCCCTCATTCCCTGCTGCGAACCAGCGAGATTGGGGATTTGGGGGGGAAGACGCGGTTTTGTTAGGGCGCGATTTGATCCGACTTGCCCGACCCCGGGCAGCCGGAACATTTGCCGCGCCCCGCGCTTCCCCCGCAGAAAATTGTGCGAGGAGTCGGGGAACCCCTCGCAGCTCGGCCAGACGGCACAGCCTAGGGAAAGAGCGCAGCTGTCTTCACCTGGAGCGCAGTTTTTCTGGGGATCTTAATGCTTCCCCGGTAACTCCCCCCCTGTCTGCAGGAACGTGCCAGGTACTGGAGTCCCTGTGCTGGTGCCAGAAGGGGTCCAGCTCGTGCGGACGGATAGCAAAAGATTGTCGAAACCCATCAGAAAGTTGGCCCGCGAAATTCGGTTGATCGACTGATTCTAACTTCAGAAAGAAAAAAGAAGAAGAAGAAAAAGAAGAAAAAAAAGAAGACAAGAAAGAAGAAGAAAAAGAATAAACAAAACATGCGATGCGGGGAGCGCGTGCAACCCAGAACAACTTAGCCCGCAAACATGGCATTCTTGAAGCTCTGGGTGTGCCGCTTGCAAAATGGGGCACTTCACAGCAAGCCCTTCCACTCTATTTCTGCATATCCTTTTATTTGCTCGATCAAAGCTGCACACATCATCAGCACAACAGCTCTGGACCTCAGGAAAGGTTCCTGAACCTTCTTAGAGGTTTTCAGGGCTTTGAAAATATGTCCGGTACGGGGAAAGCCCCAATGTTTCTCTCGAAAAGGAAGCAATACGATGACACCAACAGTTTGCACACCAGCAGTTTGGAGAGGTGCCAATGAACAGGCTGACACATTAAAAACACACACACACACACGGCGCTTGGCCCAATTTGTGAACAGGAGGTGTTCCCCATCCCGACAAAGAGACGCAGACAACCCCGGGCATTCAAGATCCAAAGCTCGCAACCGCACAGCGCCCCGGCGCGGGGACCTTCGCTTTTCCCCCCACGTCGACGCCTCGGGGCAGAAGACCACCTCATAGTCCGCCTCCGAGGATTTGGAAGCGGTCGTCCAAACCCGGGAGCCCGATGGGCACAGCTTATGTAGCATGGGGTGCCCATGTGCGAAGGGATTGTTACTCACATGGTAAAACGACAAGGCCTGGACGATTTCCGAACGATTCACTTGGTTCCTGTAGCCGAATTGAAAAAACCCGGGATATGCTTGGGCAGTGCTTGATGATGGAAATGTCCCCTTTCTGTCCGATACGGTTGAGCTGTTGCTTCCCTCCAGGGATTGCCCCAGGGCTCACGGCAAAATGGCCCTAGCAACCCACAAGGTGGGCTCACGGGGTTGCGCCCCCGAGTTGCTGAGGAATCCTCCTCCCATCTCGCGCGGTCGCGCAAACCGAGCAGACCAAACAGACCAACACGTGCCGCCTGCAACAGCCAGGCCCACTTGACAGGCTCATGAAACGAAGAGCAATGCTCAAGGGCTCCAGCTTCCCCCTCCAATTGGTTTGGATTGCTGGCTTGGTGGTTAAGGAGTTCCCATATACCCCTACAAGCACCAAAACTTCAAGTCGAAATCCAAACCACCAATCCAAAGCACCAACGTGACAAATTACCCAAAACAGCAAATCTCCGTTCGGGGCGGACCTTCTTTCCTATGGTTGCTAAGGGCCTTTCAATAGAAGCCCCCCAATCGCAATAGGGGCCAATAGGGACTAAGGCTTATTCGGGAGCCAATCGCTTCTGTTTGGTGGAACCAAACAAAAAGTCGCAAGAGGTTCCGGTTCTTTGAGGGGCCCCCCTAACAACCCACGCGCCTTGGATCCAAACGCCCTCCCCCGCGGTCGGCTTCACTCCGCGCCCCGCGCCTCGTTGCCGCGGGCGCAGAGAAGGCCCCGGTCCAAGGGCCACGCCGAGGCCTCGGGGCACGCCCGGCGGAAGTTCTCCACGTAGGAGGCCTGGCCACCGGCGGCGCAAAAGCGCGCCGCACGTCTGAGGACCGGCCCCGCCCAAACTTTTGGCTGGAGGGGTTTTTAGGGGGAAGGCTGTTTGGTATACGAGAAAACAACCCCCCCCCCCCACAAAAAAAAGGAAGAAAGAAAAAGAGTTAAAATGGTGGACCCAGAACCATGTAAAGAAATAAGAAGGCGGCCGCAACTATTTATGGCCGGGATTGTCCCTTACTAACCTTCATCTGCGCGGGTTTTGATTGTGGCTCACCTCTTTACCGGTGAATTCATAGGGGAAATGTGTTGGTGTACGAAACAAAGCCCGAAAAATGGCGTAAATAAACAAATCCATAAACGGGGCAATGTGTGTACATATAATATGCGTATGCACATATACCCCAATCCCTTGGGGTGGTTTGATTTTGTTACAGCTTCCTGTCAGCTTTCATAATTGGAGGAAACGTGATTAAAGCATATTGTTCAATCTTAGATGGTTTCGACATGTCTTCGTTCCTGCGACACGTCCCCACCTTGTTTCAAGAACCACGGCTCAATTCAATCACGTTGTAGAAGCGGCGGTGCCAAAACCAACATGTTCGTGGCATCAATCAGTCGGAGCATGGAGTTCTCTACTGCCATGTCTTCCCAAGCAGCTAGACGGGTGAGGCTCTCTGCGGGTGTGCAGTGACAAACATGCTGTCGGTTGCATCCTCTCTGGGCGCTTCGCGAGCTGAAACGCCGGTTGCACGCGTTGTTGCGTTTAGCGCTTGAGCCTAGTTGTTCAATGCTCCTTAAACCGTGTAGTTTAGTTTAGCCTTGAGCCAAGACAAACACGAGCTCATGAAACCATGTTGGTTGACTACCAGTCTTGTAGCTTCGTTGTGTTGGTCCAAAAGACCCTCCCAATTCCAACCATTCGAATGCCCACATGCTTTATACATATATATATATATACATATATATGCAAACCAAAAAAAAACTTGCTACCTCAACGCGCTCCAAAAACCCCAGGGCTTTCTTGGGGGGCTCTTGGAAACACCGCCCCCTGGAGAACAAAGAAGAAGTGCAAACCAACGCCCTGGCCTTGTCCAGAGGCGACTTTGGCCAGCTCCTTGGTCCAAGGGATCCGTTTTCCGAGCGGGAAGGCTGACTGGGAAACCAAAAGGAAAGCCACCATGGGTGCCTTTTTCCTCCTCTCCCCCAAGAAACCAGCTGCAAAGGCCCCATGCGAACTTGACGTGTGATCGCCCCGCCTTTGCCCATTTGCAGCAGTCCCCTCTTTAAACCGCCTCCCAGGTGGTCCTCCTTTAAAACCACAAGTCTTAGTGGCCTCCTTTCACACAAACCCATTTGGTCCCTCTTGCAGGAATCGCCGAGGGGCGTCACGTTGCACATGTGCGCATACGGCGGCCCTGCGGGCCACTCCGCTTCCGTGTAGGTGGTGTTGGGCGAGCAGCACAAGCCGCCGCTGCTGTCCATGTGCACCTGGACAGCTGGCTGTGGAGGTCAAAAATAGGGTCCCAAAATGGCTTGCCCTGGTACATGGAAACCACTTTTGAAGGGGAATAACAAACTGGGGTTTGATTCATATCCCACTGGCTGTGGGTCCAAAAATAGGGTAACCGCCAAAATGGAACCTTAGCAAATGGAAACATGGACTAAAACCTGCGGTCCAATTCCTGCTGGTTCGATTTTGACCCACACCCACCTGGACACTTCGTGCCATGAACCAATTCGCATGCCCTCCAAACGGCAGGCATAGGGAAAGCGCAACTCAATCTCAATCCCATTGATTTTCTTGAAAATCGCAAGGACCCCTCCGTGCTTTCCCTTACCCCAAAAACGGTTGGCGCCAAACAACCCCTCCGTGCTTTCCCTTACCCCAAAACGGTTGGCGCCAAAAAGAAAATCGGCATCCTTCCCACCCGAAAAAAAGGCCCATTAAGAAACTGGGTGGTAGCTTCCCGCCGCCCAAGACTCGCCGCCTGGCTCCGGCAGCGATCGCAGCCATCGCTGCAGGTGAGCACGTCGTGGCAGTAGTGCTCCGAGCCGTCTGCCGCCTTGCACCTAAAAGAAACGAGCGAAACGGTGCCATGGAACCTGAGGAATAAGCATCTAAGATGGTGCTCTCCACTCCCAAGCCACCCTGGGGATTCATGGGATATACACACATAAAAAGGGTTAGTATGCTGATATTGTGTGTGGACATGGTCATATATATATATATATACACACGTTCCAATAAAGACTTCAATAAAAAGGTTCTGTCTTAAAATGTACACAGCCATCATGTGTGTATATATATATATAGTCTATGTTATATTCTATGTGAGTATGTATATGAGCCTATCAAAAGATGAGATTCTACAGGAAAGCCCCAGCACGGCCGCATAGGGAGCTGGGGGCAAAGGCGTCATTGCCGGGCGAAAAAGATTCCCAAGGGGATCGTGTAACCCCTGGCTGTGAAAGTTGCAAAAGGAAGAAGCTTAGAAGCTGCGATAAGTTATGAGATAGTGGATTTATTTGGACCGTAAATTTGCAATATGTAAATACTGTGTTCGAACAAAATGTGTGTTTTCAACCAAATTCCCGTTATAATGCCATGGTGATCTTTGGACTTCTACATGAACTTTGATAATCAAAGTAATAAAGGTTGTATGCATGCACATGGTCTACATAAACAAATGAATACATAGCTGAATAAATTAATGAATACATTCATGAATAAATAAATGCATAGATGAATGAACATGTGCTAAATATACACTTAAATTATCGCGTAAGATAAATATTAATTCATACTATTGTAGTATCCCAGAGTTCAGCTAATCAAACCAATGTACCTACAGTTCCGCAAAGACCCGAGCTATAACTTGTAATTTTATCCACTTCTATGGCCGGAAACTGGAGGAGATCGCCCGTTGGCAGAGCTCCAACGCCCATTTTTTGGGGTGCATCTGTCAAGGCACAGGCCCGCATGCTCGCTCACCTTGGGGTCGGTCCACTTCTCCATGAAGGAGTACTTGTGTCGCACGCTGCTAGAAGTCAACGCTGACTTGATGGACCAGCAAAACCTGAGAAACCCACACCCCCACACCCGCACCCCCACACCCCCACACCCCCACACCCCCACACCCCCACACCCACACCCCCACACCCCCACACACCCACACCCCCACACCCCCACACCCCCACACCCCCACACCCCCACACCCCCACACCCCCACACCCCCACACCCCCACACCCCCACACCCCCACACCCACACCCCCACACCCCCACACCCCCACACCCCCACACACCCCGCGACAGGGTTTGCGAGGGACCAACTCCTCACCTGGGTCCTCCAGATTTGAGAGGTTAGAATAAGGGTACCGACTTTTTCTGTGGTCTATTTTTAGTGGGGGAACCCTCCCCAAAAAAGTTGCTGCCTTTCACCCAGCAAAAAAAAGCCTTGGGGATGTTTTCGGCATCACGAAACAACGGGCCTATAACCCAATGCGCGCAAAGAATGAGTCCCACACGGAGACGCTAACTTGGTCAGAAGGAGCAGTTTAAACTATCCAACAAAGCGGGGTGCAGAGCTCGGTCATTCCCATATCAACCCCACTGGGTGCAGAACTCAATTCAACCCCAGAAAAGAAGTCCCATGGCACGCTGAGGAGCAAACCAATGGCAGCTTCCTTGTGGCTTCCTTCGCGCGACGTGCATCTATCAGCAGCAACCGCAACAACAGCAGCAGCAGCAGCAGCAGCAGCAGCAGCAGCAGCAGCGACGACAACAACTACTAAGTAACTACTACTGCTACTGTTTCAGCTACTGCAACTACTGCGACTACTTCTGCTACTAATTACTACTGCTCTACTTTGACGATCACGACGACTCAAACTATTACGATAACGACGCCTCCGACGACTACTACGCACTGCTACTGCCACTGCCACGACAATCAAAACAACCACAACGACAAGGACAACAACCACCAACCCCAACCACAACGACAGAACGACCACGGCACGACAATCAGCAGAACCGCATTGCCAGCCATGTCTTGCCATTTAATAGCGACCAACAGAAAAGCATGCTGGTGCTGTTCGAACGCGAAAGAAAAAAAGAAAAATAAAAATAAGAAGAAAAAAAGAAAAGAAAAAGAAAAAAAGAAGGAAACAAATCGGGGGGGGGGGGGGGAAACGCACTTCCCTAAACCCCTCAAGCCAAGCTGTCACAAACTCCGTGATATGTTAATACTTCCCCCCCCCTCCCCCCCCCAAAACAAAGCCACCCTGAGCTTGTTGTTTGATGTCCCAACAATGAAGAGTACCCTTGCGGTATCCTCCCAACAATCAAGAGTACCTTTGCGTTATCCCCAAACTCACCCCGGTTCCCAAGAACAAATCATGAGGGCCGTTGGATTTTACCTTTGCACCCCCGGTTTATTTTCTTGTTTTCCGCCCGAAGCGCGGGCGCTGGGTCTCGTGGCTGAAGTCCATGAGCTCCGTCCTGGCGGCGAAACGGTGTTTTTGGTTCCCCGCTCGGAAAGATATGGTTGCGGATATTTAAAGAAAAAAAAGAGAAAAACACACACACACACACACACACACACACACACACACACACACACACACACACACACACACACACACACACACACACACACACACACATGCCACCTCCACATGTTGGTTTGGGCTCAGAAATCTGGTTGCGAATATAAAAATGCCACCTCCACATGGTGGTTTCCTCAGAAAAACCAACAAAACCTCGGCGACTTCGAAAGAGAAAGCAGCCCGAAAAAGATATGGCGGGAATGGTCTTCTTGAGCTTTGGGGCCTTCGATACTTATTAAGTTAGTTTGTTGTTCCAGGCCAAGCAAGCTTGAAAAAATCATCCCTCTCAAACAGCCGCAAAAAGAAGGTCAAATGGCGTTTCGGGGAGGGGGGGTCCTACTTTTCTAGGAGCTGATTCCCCATTCTTTTCAACCATCGTGCTTTTCAATAACCAGTCGTTTTCAACCTGGGTCGGAGGTTTTCTAGAAAGGATCCCCGGAAAGAATGGGGAAGTTGCCCTCAGAACTTTGGGATTTAATACTGTTGTCCACCGTAGGGGTTAACCTGTATCAAAGCCAAACAGCAAGCGCTAGGCTCGCTGGAAACAAAACTGTCCTCAAATGGCAAGGTGAGTCACTGCAATGTAGATCATCCTTCAAGGGCTGAACAGCCAAGATGGGCTTAGGAACAAGCGGGCTGAAATACCGAGAGACGTGGTCAGTGAGCCTCGAAAATAGTGTTGGGTTCGTGCTCCAAGGCGAGGCAACGGGAAACCTAACCCCTTGCATGTCCTACTTTGTTGGAAAGACCCATGTTGGCGAGGATGAGTTGCTCCATATAACGCATATGTTGTCTTGCTGGATGTGTGTATATATATATATATATATATGGCAACATCCCAATCCCCACTAAAATTGGTTCTAAAATGGGTGGTGAATTCACCTGCCCCAAAATGGGATCCCATTGGTTTTGACAACCACAGTCATACATATATATATATATATATGCATAAGTCACCCCCATTCTGCGGCACACCCAAGGAATACAAGTCTACGGGACACCCAAGGAATACAAGGCACGGGTCCGCTTCCTTCCCGCCGCCAGCCGAGCGACTGGCACTGCGTCCAGGGGTCCAAGCTGCAGCTGGCCGCACGGCAGGCCTTGGCCGAGGGCGCCAGCGACACGTTCACGTTGAAGCCTCCGACGGGTGCGGCCCCGGAGAAGGTGCTCGGAGGGGATTGGGGATTGGGGATTGGGGAGGGGGAGGGGGAGGGCAGGGGGAGGGGGCAGGGGGAGGGGGCAGGGGGAGGGGGCAGGGGGAGGGGGCAGGGGGAGGGGGCAGGGGGGAGGGGGCAGGGGGAGGGGCAGGGGGAGGGGGCAGCAGGGGGGGGGGGCAGGCAGGGGGGGCAGGGCAGGGGGAGGGGGGGAGGGGGGGAGGGGGGGCAGGGGCTCACAATCATCAGACAAATCAAGTCAGCAATTCAAGTCAAGCAATGAACCCATCAAACAAACAACCAATCAACCAATCAACCGACCACCTACTCCAACCATCTGAATTTGTCTGCTGTCTACGGAAACCATTTCCTAGGTCCTCCAGATTTGAGAGGTTAGAATAAGGGCGCCCTTTTTTGTCTGTAGTCTATTCTAGTAGGGAAACCCTCCCAACCAAAAAAGTTGGCCCTAGGGGCACCTAGCTGGGGACCTAGTTTCTGTACCCCGATCCCAGCGGCCTTCCACCAGAGACAGGTCGTAGATGTCCTCCTCCCCAGGCTGGAAGGAGAACTTCACCAGGGTGGCGGCTGAGCGCAACTCCTCCTGCGCGCTCCGCCGTGGAACCCGAAGCGCGGAAGGGGGGGGGGGGACGCTCCACTTTGGCTCTGCAAAATTTTCACGTGGAACCCGAAAAAAGGCGGGGGGGGGGGGGGGGGTCGGGGGATGGGGGGGGGGAGAGAAGGGAGGACGGCTATCAGCGCCTGAACTTTGACTTTGGCCCCCCCTTGCAAAGGGTTTTTGGAATGACCAAAAGCCCGCTGGTCTCGTCTCGTGCATCCAATATCATCCTGTCACAAAAGATACTGACATGCGTTTCCGAACATGCAACAACAATCCCCCCCCTTCTGACCCCCACCCCCCCACCCCCCACACCTTGGCAGGGAACCCAAAACGGAAACCCCTAAAAACCCAGCTCCTCCGCGCCGCAGAGGAACTTGGAGCCCGCATCCGCGCCGCGCGGCTTGGCGCAATCCCCGGTGGCGCAGTGGAACTTCGTGCCCACCGACAAGTGCCCTCGCGGGGTCAGGCGAGAAGGAAGCAAGAGCTGGGCCAAGCTGAACCATGTTCAAAAACCACGAGTGGGAATACTAAGCTAGTTGATACGTTTAAAGTGCTTGGAGTTCATACTTGCTTGAAAAGAGTTTAGCTATTTGATTGGTTGAAAAACACCGATTTGTTTATGATGGCAAGACATATTGACACATGCGATCTGTTCTTTGTCTGCGCAGGCTGGCGCACGACCTTCCTTGGCTCGTCCTTCTTGGAGGTTTCCCAAAATGGCGCATCTGTTCTCCTCTTGGCTTCACTGTACAGCCCACCAAATGGGGGGTTTCCCTTGAAAAAGGACAGACCCACTTTTGGAGTCTCCCGTCAAAACGCCCTTTCTGGGGATGGGGCTCGAAATGTTGCCCGACGGCATTGCCCTCTCAACTTTTGCCGGAGCAATGATCGACCTGGCCCTCGCTCCCTCGCTGCACCGGGCTCCAACAGTTCCCCGTGTTTCATCACAGGAAAGCCAACGAGGTGATCTCAAGAGAGCCGAGAGCCGCACCTGAATTCCGAGTTTCAAAGGCCCGAGGGCCAACGACTCAACCCCTGAAGGGCTCCTCTCAAAGGGAGATGGGAACAGGGTTCCTGATGGTTGTCCCCCATGCCTCACCAAAAAAAAGAACAACTGGAATTGGCCCAAGGCTCAAGTTGCACCCACCTAAAAACAAAAACCGTTGGGAGGGGCATGGACGTTTTTCCGCGCTGTCCCGCGCCTTCCGGCGTCCTCACCGGCTTGGGGTCCTTGTCCGGCACCTCCTCCTATGGGAAATGGCTCCCATTTTTCACACGCCCACAAGGAATCCTCAGTGAAGCTTGAGGCCGCAAGCTTTTGTTAAGTCGTTCTCATGGCATCTCCTTTGGGCTTTTCCGCTTCAGGCAGCAGAGCCGCCAAGTTCGAACATTTTTCTTCGGTCCAAAGGGCCTCTCCCAGGTTTGGGTTCCCTGGGTACTGTGTAGATATCCTACACCTTAGAGCCATGTTCCCCCAAAGTCCATAGGCTTGGGACCTACAAGTAATAAGGATGCATATCTCTGCTTCAAACTATCAAGCATGGCTTCAAAGGATTATCCGGAAAACCACCCTCGGAGAATTTTGACCGGAAAGGCTCTGTTGAGAAGTCAATCCTACAACTTAGTGCGCCATGGCGTGCCCTCGCGCGCAAAAGGGCGGCCATGCAAAGCGGGCAGAAATCCCCCGGGGAGATTTGCACGCTGCAAGCGTGGTTGTTGGCCTATACTTGCCAAGATCCCACGAAAACCATGAAACCTTTGGAAGGGACTGGATCAGGCGCAGATGCGGAGCATCGAAGGGTTCACCAAAATGCGAGTTGACAAAGGATAAGTGATTGGGGGGGTGGGGGGGAAGGGGGGAAATCTCGCGAAAACAAACACGATGACAAAAACAGAGTCAAAGGACGGATCTTCGACTGAATTGCGAGGATGGTGACATCTTAGCAGGTTGATTCTACCCGAAACAAGAGGCTCAAGTTGATGTGATAGACAAAACCCGGCCGAGGGAGCACAAGGAATTGCGGGAGGCAAGATGGCGAGGGAGTTTTTTTCCGAGAAGTGCAAAGAGCCAGGCGAGTGGACCGCTGACCAACCTCGGCTTGAGCCCTCCACACCTCTCAGAGGGCATATCATTCACCTTTTCACGGATCAAAGGCCCCCCAAAATCCTGTCCCTTGAATTTCCTGCAACGGGGGGCAAGCAACATCAATATTCCACTCGGTCAATGGATGTCAAAACGGGCCCGCCCCCCTCCAACTGCTTGAAGGCACCTTTTTTATTCCGCAGGGGCTCCTGCTGTGTCCCACTCTCCGAAAACTTCCCCCCACATTTCCCCTTCCAAACCTTCCACACATCCAGAGACGCATGCCTTGGTGATGACACACTGGTCGAAGCACAGCTCTGCATCGAAGGGACCCTCTGTGGTCGCCTGGAGGGCTCGAGACGCTTGGAGTGGCAGTGTTCATTGGGAGAAACTAAAGGTTTAGGGTTTAGGGCGTTTAGGGTTTAGGGTTTTAGGGGGTCTAGGGTTTAGGGTTTAGGGTTTAAGGGGGTCTAGGGTTTAGGGTTTAGGATTTAGGGTTCTAGGGGGTCCCTTGAACATGAGGAATCTTCAAAAAGCGCCCCACTGCTTGGCCCCATCGACGCTCGGGATTATGGTCAAACGAAGATATTGGAAAAGCCGGGAAAACCGCACGAAAAGCCAACAGCTCCAACATAAAGACATGAAGCAAAATCCACGGCGGCTCCTCTGCCTATGTAGTGGGTTGCCAGTCGTGGCTTCCATTGTTCGCAAGTAGTCTTTGCGGCTTTGCAAGCAACAATATCACGAAAAGAATCCCGTGCAGGAGTTGATGTCTTAAGGCACCTGGGGCTTCAAAGAACCGAAAACCGAACACCAGACACCGAGAACGAGCCAGGCCATCAGGCCCAAAAGCCCGCGAGGGCTTTGCTGAGAAAGGGGCCTCGAATCCTCAGAAAAAAGAAGAAGAAAAACTCCAAGCAAACGGCTGGGATTCGGCTGTTGCCATGTTAAGCCGTTTTGAAAGAAGGAGCCCCAATCTTCTTGTCTCCTTTTTGTAGGGGACCCCAACATGGCCAAAATGGTGTCCTCTTCGTTTCCCAAGGAAAAAAACAGAAACAAAGAGGTTCCCCTCGAAAAGATTCACATCCCCTGCATAGGGAACCCAATTGATGGGGTTCCCGGTTTATGGATGGCATAAAAACCAATCTGAACCAGTGAAACCATCGATTTCTAGCCAAACTAACCAATCAAAAGGACACCGACTGTATGAGTTTGGAGTGGTTTCAAGGGCAACCCCTTTCAAAGCTTCCCTCAAAGGATGTTTTCCGTGGATTGGCCTAGGAGCTTTGGATTGGACTGGTTTCAAGGGCAACTTTCCTCGGAGACTCTGGATGGACAAAATCCTGCACCCAACTCTGGGAATCATGATTCCCCTCATGACTATTAAACAAAACAAGAAAGAGGAAAAACAGTAAGAAGAAAAAAAGAAGAGGAGAAAGAAGAGGGGGAAAAAAGAAGAAGAAAAAGAAGAAGAAAAAGAAGAAGAAAAAACTATCCCCCCAGAAGCCCACCGCCGTCTTGCGCCCGGCTTCGCCTGGCACTCACCCGTGAGACCTTGTACGCCGTGGGTTCCGTCGCGGCAGTAGAAGTGGCTCCCCGCAGCACAGGGCGGGTTCAGCGAGAGCCCCTGGGTCCCAAAAGAGCCTGGGATTCTTTCTGGGGGTGGGGTGGGGGGGAGAGTTTAAGAGTTCTTGGCCTTCAGCAAAGATTGGGAATGGAAGGTCTCAACCAGAAAGTGCGGGTTGTAAGTTGCAACCAAATCTAAGGGAACCAACCCAAGTGGGAAGACATGCCTCCCAGTTGCAGCCAGTGCCCCGAAAAGGAAAAACAAGACTCGGCGCCATATCTTTGTAGCCCCATTCTCAGTAGGAAAGCTGGCTGTGGGTCAAAACCAATGGTACCATCTTAGGGGTAGGTGCACCATCCATTTTGGTCTTTTTAGTGGGGATTGCGATGTTCACTGGAGCTAAGAAATTTGGATTTTAACCCATCAGTTGGCAACGCATGCCGCTCTGGGGCATGGTCAAGGCTCTCCGGCCCCTTGAGGGGACCGCAGCTCGCTTCATCCCGAATGAAGTCTCGCTGTAGCGGGCTCATGCTCCGTGAGTCCCCGCATGGCTGCCGCGACCAATGGGAAATATGCCTGAAAACCTCTCAAGCAACCCTGAGCGCCAGTCATTTTCTGGCAGAAGGATGACTGAAAGAGTTGGGGTGAAGCTGGCGTTATCCCAGGATTAACAAACTGGATGGACGGTGATCCCCATCAACAGGAGTCACCCCCTTCTTGATCCACTGGGGGTTTGTTAATCCTAGGTTTCCGTTCTTGGTGCGAGGATACATGTGTTCAGAGGAAAAGGACACCCCCATCCAACACAAGTTGCAAAATGGAAGCAACCCCCTAAATTTGTGTTTTTGTAAGTTCCCAGTAAAGCTTCCTGAGTACCCCGTTTGTCGTGGTTCAACAACAGACAACCTACCATTTATTGGATGGTTGCAAGAATTGGAAGGCCGAAAACGGGTGAGATGTTTTCTTTGGGCATAGCTAACCCTGGCACAGCCTGGCGTGCACAAAAGGAGACACTAACGGATAAAAAGGTTCAGGCCTCGCATCGTTTTAACATCCTCAGCATCTTTCTCAACAGCATCACCAGGCTTTGGTTTAGGTTGGGTTTAGGGTATGTTCCAGGTTGGCTCAGGCTTGGCTCCGCGTGGGTTCCAAGCCTATTGAGAGCAAATTTGTGGGTGGCTGTGCTTGAGGTAGATGGCTTAGTGCTGGTTTATGGTGGGGCTTCTTGTGCTTGGTCTCGGGCGGGTTTAGTGGGTTTAACATTGGCTTCGGTCGTGGTTGTGTAGGTCCACACCCAAGAAGCCCCACCATAAACCAGCACTAAACCATCTACCTCAAGCACAGCCACCCACAAATTTGTCTCTCAATGGGCCTGGAACCCACCCGGAGCCAAGCCTGAGCAAACCTGGAACCCACCCTAAACCCAGAGCCTGGTGATGCTGAGGATGTTGAAAACGATGCTGAGGATGTTAAAACGATGCCAGGCCTGAACCTACCCTAAACGAACACCCATCCCAAATCTTCGTCCTACCGAGGCGCCAGCCAACGACCAACGAACCAACGAACCAACGAACCAACACCAACCAACCAACCAACGAACCAATCACCTGCCAGGGCTAGCCCTGTGCCAGGGCTAGGCAAAAAAAAAGAAAAACTTTCCGGTCCGGCCGAAAACTCCCCCGAAAAAGAGCCATCCGCTTGGCCCCCAAAGAGTTAATCGACGTATTCGTTACTCGTTCCTTGTAGCAGTCTTCGAAGACCCGCTGCTCCGAGCACCCGGTGCGCGCCCAGAGGCTCCCCGAGTCCAGGCTCTCCACCTCGATGCTCACCTCCCGAAAAGCGCTGGGGTGGGGATCTCTCACTCGAGGTCGGCAGAAAAATCCAGATGCTCGATTGGCTGTGGCTCAAATAAACGTACCAAAATGGCACGTGGTAAATGGAGCCAAAGACTAAAACCTGTGTAGCCCTAGCTCTTGAATTTTGAGCCACACCCATTTTGCGGCAAGAAGTTTTTCCGTGACACTCAACAGGGCTAAAACGAAGCCTGACTTGCCCAGTGGAAGCCGGGCAAACACCCACAATTCTCCCCTAGAACGTCAGATTTCTGCCGAAAACTCAAACCCCCTCTCAAACCGGTTCATATCCCCGGTCAAATTCCCCTCTAGAAATCCCTCCAAACAATCCGGCGCCGAGAAACCGGTCAAGCTCCCCCTAGAACCTGTCAAATTCCGCACATGCTCCCTCAGGCAAGATATGTAGAAACGCGCGAACCTGCATCCACCCTCCAGCTCGCGCATTTCGGTGCCGACTCGCTCAGACAAACACAACACTTCAAGGCAAACCAAAACACAGTACCTCAAAGCCAGCCAAAAGCCTTCTGGCCGAGGCGGGCAACGCGAAGCGTTTACAATAATTCGGCACCTGTCTAAGGGGCATGCAATTACTCCTTGAATCGTGCGATCGCCGATGAAGGATGCTCAACGAAGGCTCTCACTTTCCTTTGTTCCCATGTTCTGGAACGAAGCCCTCCTCGACTTCATCAACTTCCAGCTGTCGCAACCAAACACTCCAACAAGGCCGTTTTGCAAACATCCACAACCCCATTGGTCCTTTCGGCAAGTTTTCGGGGTGACCGAAACCATAGTTTCGCCCCAAAAGAAGCATGGGAGTACTGTAGTCTGGGGCCAGTTGCTCCAAGCGCTTCAAGCTCAACTCTCTCATTCCAATTCGTAGGAGAAAGGAGCCCCCACCCCTGCCTCATCCTTCTGCCCCACCCCACACATGGCCATGGGTCAAAATCAAAATCCTCCCCCCAGTGACCTCCCAATCCAACCACTAAAATAGGAAGCCTAAAATGGGTGTTGAATTCACCTACCAACCAAAATGGGATCCCATTTCTTTTGTCAAAAGCAATGGGATCCCATTTTGGGGTTAAATTCAACACCCATTTTGACCCACCCCCCACATCCCGCCTGGGCATTGGGCTTCATCTCCACCTGGCCTTCCTCGAGCGGAAGGTTCCGAGCGCCCAGCCACAGCGTCTCCTGGCACTGATTGATCACCTGGCACGGAAAATGTGAGCTTCGACACTGGGAGGCCTTGGGAATGAACAAACAGAATGCTGATTGGATGGTGTAGGGGTTGGTTCCCCATTCTTTTCAACCACAAAAACCAGCCGTTTCCCTAAGTTTTTCATGGCTTCCTGAAAAGAAGGGTTTTGGAGGAGACCTGTTTGGAGCGTGTCAAAAAGGGAAACCAAAAGGAAACTAAAACCATTTCTTGGCCTAGCAGCCGTGGAGTGATGATTTGGTGCCCACCCGAGAACAAACATAGAACCTTGAAGGGGCCCTCTGGAAGACCCTTGGACACTCGTTCAGGTTCCACGTTTTTCGGGAGGGTACTCTGCACTCAAACGGAACGACCAAACTTCCTATAACTTAACAAACTGAAACCTCTAAGATGGGTGGCTTCCCTTTCAGTTCCCTTTCAGCTCCCTTCAAAACCGTCCCAGAAGGGTGGCCTCATATCTGGGCAAATGTTGTGAGGCGCCTTGCAGTGAACTATGAGAATTGGCCCACCTGACAGAAGGGACGCCCAAGAAGCCTTCATCATGGGTAGGGTCACAAACCCCCGTCCTCGGTGAGATCGCATTTGTTTGCCCAGAAATACGTGAAAGTTACACTAGCGGCCATGAGAAAATGACCATGAGAAAAATGAGGGTAATGACCACGGCCGTGGTTTGCAACCACAGTCCACAATTTCTGTCTGGAAGCGATCTGAAGGCGAATTTCCTCTTAACAGAGGCCGCAAAGGTTTCGCCGAGCCTTGGACAGGGGGTTCATTGTAAGCTTCTCAGCAGTCAGGTTCCATGCAAGGGCAGGAAAGATCGTGAAAATTCGGGACCAAGCTAGCGGTTCCTTCAACAATCTATCAACCAACAGGGATCCTTACATTATACACCTGAACATTGGTGGCTTCCCTTTTCTTTCGGCGTTGAAAAAGCCACATGTTTCAAATGGTTGCAACATGTAGATCCTTTTAGGAGCCGGTTCCAAGGGTTCCAAGGCTTGCAGCCACCTCCCTCTCGCGCCTCGCCTTGATCTCCTTGGCAGAACCGCCCAGCAGCACAGCTGCCAGAGTTCTCAACGCCATGGCAACTCCCAGCGGACCCGTTTTTGTTGGTCTTGAGCCAAAGGGCTGCCGAAGGATTCGAAGGTGACCCTGAGACTTCAGGTGCCAGAAGGATGGCAAAGCAAAACCAGATCGACCTGGGATAAGGGAGGTCCCCGTATTTCCAAGTAAGACGTCAACCCAACAAAAGCACAAAAAAAGGTTCGCCCAGAAGGCGACGAGCGAAACCACCAGAAAGGAAATTCTGGACCGGCTGGCCGGCTGGCGCTCCCCTTGCAAGATCTCCAAACCTCGATTCAACTCCGCGGAGTTTGCCCGGAGGGATGCTGAATCCTAATCCTCAATTCCATGATCCGTAGTGAGGCACGACAAGCGAAACCACGACCATCTGGCATAAGGATTCTTGGGCGCCCATGTTTGGAGGTTTGGGGATAGTTTGCCCTCAACAAGAACCAGGGGTTCAAATACCAATCCAAACCTCCAAACCAAACCACCGATCCAAGCCACCGATCCAAACCACCAATTCGCCACCCTGCCCCTCCCCCTCCCAAAAAAAAGAAACACAAAACGAAAACGCTGGATGGGTCCGCTCGATGCTGGGCTCGATCTCCCTCAGGGGTTGCAGGATGAAGCCCACGATGGGGATCTGCAACGCCTACGGGAGACTTGCCGGAGGCCCTGCTCAGGTGGCCATGGGTCAAAAGCCAGAATTCCGTTCCCCCAGTGGTTACGTCCCAATCCAACCACTAAAATAGGTTCAAGAATGGGTGGTGAATTCACCTACCCCAAAATGGGATGCCATTGGTTTTGACAACCACAGCCAGGTTGGTTTGAAGGCAAATTTAAGAGGAGAATGCCAGTCACTGGTGGGTTCACTGCTCTGGGAGGTCAAAAAAAATATGAGGGATTTCTGATAGAGGGGAGGTCAGGGAAACAGGCAATAGTGACTTCGAGGTCCATTGCCAGGCAGGCGATGTCAGCATAAATAGTGGGCTGAACGTCCTAGATGCGAGCCCCGTTTGAACTGTATTCGACGAAACACAACATTTAGCAAGGAAAGAGTACTGGCTTTGACCAACAAGGATAAACTTGGATTTTGACGGCCTCCCCGCAAGAAGTCGACAACGTGTTGTGAACACATAGGGGTGTGATCCGAAAGGGAGGACCACAAACGATCCGAATGGGTTCCTTGATTTAGGTCATGTCGGCAGCGTATGAATATAAGGGCGCAACTTCCCCCAAAGCGATCCGCTCAGCCTCTCTAAAAGAGGCTGAACTTGTAGATCAAGCGGGTTTGCCAAGCATTGAAAGCTGGATCAAATGACCAAACTAACAAAATTCGGCCCCTGGTGGAGGGTCGAGGTGTTGAGTCGTCCTGGATTTCCATCACGCATTTGGCAGGGGTGTGTGTGTGTATATATATATATATGTCTTCCCCTGCCCTGCCCCGAGATCCGAAGCACGCATCTGTTCATGCAAGAGGGGCGCTCCGGAAGTTGCGTGCGCAGCTGGCGCTGCGAATTGCAAAAAGGCACTGTACTGCCAAGGCGGCAGCCACAAAAACTGCTGCAGCAGACGCACAATGGAAGTGCAAAACAGAGGAGGCAGGGTGGCGGTGGCTAGCTTGAGACTGAAGGAGGGGCATCAAAGGCATGCCAGGATATGTCTTCCCCTGCCCTGCCCCGAGATCCGAAGCACGCATCTTTTCATGCAAGAGGGGCGCTCCGGAAGTTGCGTGCGCAGCTGGCGACTGTACTGCACAAAAGCAAGGCACTGCGCAAGGTGCACTCACTGACTGACTGCTGCAGCAGACGCGCAATGGAAGTGCAAAACAACCAAACCCACCCAAGGTGTGTGGTGGTGGACAGGCGAAGCCACAGCCACGCAAGGAGCTGTCATGCTGCCACTTGGCCTTGTGGAAGACGCAGGCAGCAATCGTGGAAATGCCGGTACCACGCATTGCAGAAAGGAAATGCGAAAGGTGAGTGACTGGCGCAGCTTGTACATCGGAGAAATTTGGAAGCACCTCTCGAACGGCAAAGTCCAACTGATAGAGTACTTCATCCAGCAGTTCTTCAAGCAACATCACAAGGAAATGGGTTTGGCCAAGAAACCCGTTATGGATGGTTTGCAGAGGCACCGGACCACAAAAACCAAAAGCAGCACCCGGCAGGCAGTGGATCCGGCCCAGGTCCCAAGCATTTTGCGCCCGTAGGCCTTGGCATCAAGCATGAACCAAGCAGAGCGCGCAGGTCCAGCGACGCATCGCACCGGGACACAGGGCAAGGGATCTTCTTGCTGCTCAAGTTCTTTCATGGCCACAAAGGCCCTGGCAAACTTTTGGAACCTTGCATCTGCTGGGTACCTTTTTGCGGCGCGCTTCAATTGCTTGTCTGAAACTTGTTTGCAGACGCGCCACGACAAAGCCCCTGCAGAGATTGTAAAAGTCTCCATGCTTATCCACCCAGCTCTGCACAGGCTTGACACCACTGAGCTAGGGCGGGACTTGAGCTCTTGGATTCTTTCGGCAACAGGGGCAAGCAGCACTCACAACCTTCCACCAGCACTAGGTTGACACAAAGGGGGCCAAGTTTCTTTAGCCTGTTTTCTGTCTTTTCGACACAATTGGCTTGTCCTGTAGCAAGCTTTGCAGAATCATGTTTCCTGCGCATCAAACTGCGATTCTTGCCCCAGTTCAGCTTCTTAATGTAGTCCGTCAGACTGTAAGCCGCTTCCGTGCTGACACCCAGAGTTTCTTCGTGTCTGCGAACGTGCCTAAGCGGCTTTTGCTTCATGCGGCTGCGCTCTTTCCGGTGGTCCCGCATGGCCGTGCCCGCACCACGAGGTCTGTCCTTCCCGCTCGAGCTGTCCTCCTCGCTTGAAGCATCTTCGCTGCGGCTGCTGTCTGCTTCGGCCCTCGGTGCGTCGGGAGCCTTTGCCTTTCAGCGTCTTCAAGATCTCCAAGGACACTAGAGCATTCAGATCGATGTTGCCTTGCCCCTGGGACATAACCTGCTCCAGCAGCGGCGCATCGCTTTTCTTCGTGGCTTTGGGCTTCAACAGCGGATATTGCCCCTTTCCCGTCCTTTTTTATGGGGATATCCTTGCTTCCCCTGCTTCCTCCTCCGGTACCATCGCCCACTCTTGTGGGCTTTCAACAGCAAGCAGGTTCAACACAGGATCGTCTCCGCTGCCATCCTCGTCCTCTTCCGAGCTGCTCTCAGATGCCACCGGCCGCTTCTGATCGAAATCCTCCGAAGCAGTGATGTAGCGCAGGTCCTCCGCTTCTAACGCCTCTTGGCCCTTTTTTAGCAAAGCCTCCACTTCCACCTCCAGGGCCCGATGTGGCGCGGCGCAGCTCGGCCGCACTTGAGTTTGTGTGCCTTCCACCAGCACAAAACCCAAGCTGCTCACCACAAACAAGCTCTCGATCCAGTTCTTCTCCAGCTCCTCGGACGTGACCCTGACCGCAAGGATCAGCTTCTCTGACTTGCGACTGGCTTGCAAAACCACGGCTTGCCTCCATGCAGGAAACTTGTCCAACTTGACGTAGACCAAGTCCTGCTGCTGGCAGCTGGTCCCACTTCTCAGGTCCATGTGTAGAGGCTGCTCGCCAGCTCCCAGGGCAGACAGTGCGACCAGGCCCCAAGACGCACTGATCATCCCTCGGAAGCGAATGCCCTCGAAGACAAACTGAAAAGGTGATTGGCCTGCAGAATGGATTCGTAGGCCATGCAAAGGATTTGTCTCATCTAGCTTGAGACTGATTGCAAGGCATCAAAGACATGCCAGGAAAATCTAGCCATGTGGCTGCCGGCTCTCACTTTATGATGAGCTGCACCTCGTCGGCGTTCAGCTCCGTCTCGCCATCAGCATCCACCTTGAAGAGGATGCCATCGAACTCAAAGACTTCAGAGCCTCAGGCAGGGGAAAGAAAGACCGGGCAAAGAACGGCCGACAAACATGAACTTCAAGAAAACGCTCCTTCTTTAAAGAAGATCATCGAACACCAGGCCAAGGAGCCGTTGGGAAGTTGACAGACCTTCGTGGGCCATGAAGCAGGCCCAGAGGGGGCACTTGGCCCCGGAATATGGCTCCATTGCTGGAGGGCCCACAAAACTTCGCGGGGAAGTACTCCATGAAAGGCAGTGGCAAACATAAGTGAGTCTGCCGAAGCGAATGATCTAACAATTTGCTAGGCCAGCCAAAAACTGCAGTATGCTGCTTTTGCTTTCCAGGTGCATGTGCTGCATGTAATGCATGACAGTTGCTCCTGCCAGATTGGCCCTGCATCTCAGATGGTTGGACAAGCAGAAGGTTGGCCCTGCATAGCAGATGGTTGGACCTGCTGGGCGTGGATCATGGGGGGGGCGAGCATATATATATATATAGATATATATATATATATATATGCAGTGGTGCACGGGCGCAGTTGAACGGGTGTGCTGGTATTTGGCAGGCGAGTGTGTGCAAAGGCAAACTGCAACGTGGCAGTCGGGTCAAAAGCCAAAAATCCGTACCCCCAGTGGTTACGTCCCAATCCAACCACTAAAATAGGTTCAAGAATGGGTGGTGAATTCACCTACCCCAAAATGGGATCCCATTGGTTCTGACCACCACCGCCATGTACCAAAATCAACTTCCATGGGTCCGCTGGGTGCGTGAGCCAGACCTGCCCAACCAGGAAGCGCCTTCCAAACCCCAGACTCTCTTGTGGATGCCGAAACGGGATCTGCTTTTAAAAGGAAACACACCTTTTGATTGGATGCCTCTTGGATGCTTCCGGGATACTTTCTGGATGCGTCTTGGGTGCTTCTTGGATGCTTCTTGGGTGCTGTTCATGCTCTTCACCCATTGGAGAAAAAGCCTCAGCTCCACCCTGCCGAAGCCTCCGAGATGATCATGGCCACGTGGATCAGTAGGAAGCCGAAGACGATGAAGGTGGGCCGCTCCTGACCCGACATCGACCGGAACTGGGGTAAGAAACTAGACCTGAGTCACAATCAAAACCCGGTATTAAA